GGGAGAGAGAGAGAGAGAGAGAGAGAGAGAGAGAGAGAGAGAGAGAGAGAGAGAGAGAGAGAGAGATGGAAGATGCTCCCTCAAAATGAACATCAGGGAGTCTTTGTGGATGAGAAGGGAGCACAACATATGCTTGTCATTTAGCTATGGCCCCAATAGCTAAGGATGTGTCATTGCTGCAAGATTGGCCAATGAATCAGCAAGAGATTAAGTCGAGGATATTCTGGACAATGACCCATAAGCTGCCAGTGTCCTCCAAATCAACCTTCTTCCAACCTTCTTCCAACAGTTGTCCTGGCTTCTGCAAATTACAATGGGCACAGCGGCCACCGAATCTCTGAGCGTGGTGGGGAATGTATTTGTGGGGATGGTAAGTGGTACGTAATCTTGACTTCCCCCATGAATGCCCATCAATGGTCCTCTCAACCTTCTCTCTAAACAAGAGAGGGAACAGACTTCCATTCTTTCTGTTTTTCATTTTCCAAAGCTATTTTGTTTCTGCATTTGAGAAAAGTCTCTTTTCTCCCCCGACAATTTGCTGGGAAAAGGGACACATACTTTTGATTTGAAAATACATGCATGCATCCTTCTCCACATGCATTTTTGCCTTTTTCTTCGATATAAGCTTTCTTTCTTTTATTCTGCCTTGCTACATTTAAAGAAATGCAGATTTTAGAAGTAGCTAATGTTTGGATTATATTTTGGTTCTGAAGTGCAAAACGAGGTGAGTTTGCATTCAAGCGAATTTCTCTTTCATTTTTTGTAATGTGAAACCATCACAAAATTGGATGCTGTCTTTCTCATAGTTTATTCCAGAACTGAGTATTTTATTCTCCTGGGCTGTGTGTTTAAGCAGAACATTGAATCAGGCTATCTGCTCATTGTTTCTGAGTAACAGAATTCTGAGTTATATTTCTGGGGTCTTGGTTAACCTCTATTTGATTTTATCTTTTGTCCTCCAGACCGAAGCACCCTTGCTCATCCGTCCCTACCTGGGGGACATGACACGTTCAGAAATCCATGCTGTGATGACCGGTGGCTTTGCTACCATTGCTGGTAGTGTGATGGGCGCATACATTTCATTTGGGGTGAGTGATCAAATACAATATCCATTCAGACTCATATCTGACTCTTAGTGATTCTATGGGCCAGGTCTCTCCACATCTTCCGATCTTGCACTACCTCTTTAAGTTACTCTATGCTCTGGGTGGTGCTAGCTTTGATGGTGGGGGTGAGTTTACCGTACAAGAAAATAAATATCTATAACTGAGTCTGCACAAGAGGAGGAAATTCTTGTACAGAAGCATTTACTGTTGCACAAATGATATGGAATTATCGTATGTATCATAGCAGATTATACACACGTTCACGTTTTCTGAACCAGGCTATTTGACTGCCTACACGTACAATATTGGGACATTCTTTAGGTCCTTCCTAAGTGTGTAGACCTTGGGGTGAACTTCATTTAATCAGATGTTTAGAAAAGGCATTTGATCAGGTGAAGTGGGAACTAAATGAACATCCAGAGGACATGAGTTGATGTGAACTACTTTTGACAAGGCCAATCTATTTAGACTATTACTGCAGCACAGTTTAAAGCTGGATCTTATTTTATCTTTAATTATAGATTAAAGACCTTTGGTCTGAGTTGTTTTTTATCGGGTGAAGGGGAAATTGTGGTAAAAGGCCATCTCGTGATGTGTGATTTGGTATTATCAGTATCATATTCTAATAAACTACGTGGGCAAAATGTATTTCCCAATAAGCTAATCACCTTTTCATTAGAACTGATAGGAACAGCGAGTGTATAATTATTCCACAGCAAAGAATAATTACATCATTTTTTTTTAATTGCCTGGAAACTTTTAAATTACTGTTTGGAAAAGGAAAGAATTCACAAAAATTAGGAGAGTTAAGCGCCTTGGATTAAAGAACACGGCATTTGTCGACTCTTCTGTGGCAATTTGTGGTTCTTCTTGCAGATTGATGCCTCGTCTCTCATCGCAGCCTCAGTAATGGCAGCACCTTGTGCTTTAGCTATGGCCAAACTTGTCTATCCAGAAGTGGAACAGTCCAAATTCCGAAGCCACGAAGGCATCACAATTGCCTGCGGGTGAGAGCGGCTAAAATCCACGAGGTTCCTATGGCTTCTACAGGGATCTGGGTAGCAGGTTCCGAGGAAAAGGTGGAGAGAGAAAAGAGGAGAAGACCAATGTGTCAAGCACAGCTGGGTGGGGAGAAGATTGGAGAGGTACAAAGAGAAGAAGGTGTGGCCCCAGCTTCCCAGATGTTTTTACCTGGCTTGGCAGGAGGACTATGATCCAGGTCCCATCAATTAAAGAATGTCACCTAGCAGGATCTCTCTGTTACAGGGGCTGCATTTTGAAACTCCACAGCCTCTGAGTGGGATTAGATTGGCCCTGACTCTGCTTAGTACATTTTTTTCAGCATGCATCTCAGTTGTCTAGGAAGGTATGGATGGCGAACAAATTTAAGAAGGAGGGAGAGAGGGAGGGAGGGAGGAAACAGATCAGAGGTGGGTTCCTACCAGTCCGCACCTATTCGGTAGAACCGGTTCGTCAAATCTACCAAACCGGTTAGAAGAGGTTCCACCAGTGGACCCGG